CCCGGAGACTCAGGCGAATTCCAACACCAGCTTGGCCGGTGCTCGAAGCTGCATCGTCACCGGATAGGCGCAATGAGAAAGTGCTGCTGGTGTCACCTAAAGGCGATCGCAGAGTGAGCACAGAGTTTGAGTCTTGCAGGCAGGTCTCCGATGAGCAGCAAATATCGATGGAGAGGGTCTCTAAAGTTCGGGTAGGCGCTGCCTGTTGACCGATCTTTTGCAATGTGCGTACATTGTGGCATGCCAATCTGAAAGAAGATCGAAGGCTCCAAATGGAAGCCGCTGAACTTGGCTTGAGCGTTTGCTTGGACATGGGCTTGTTGACAGGGCAGGAATGACGCTCCGTGTTTGGATGTGAGTCTAAACTAGAGGATAAACGCCTAGCAGGGCCTGCTAGGGGGCCACGGTTAGGGCGGTTGAAAACAGGGGGGGGAAATGCAGTTGGAACGGGACGATAAGGGTGAAAAACGTAAGAGGGGGAATAAGAAGACGGGAAGGCTTGAGCATTAGCATCTAAATCCCTATCCACCCTGCTCGATGCAGCAGCTAGGCACCGTTGATTATCCTCTGCGGTGGCCAGAGCATCAGGAATCTGTTTGACGAAAGGTCCATATTATTACTGGCCAGCTACAGGAGGGCGCCAAGTGTCACTTCGGCGCCCACTGTGTCTAAATGCAGTGCTTCTAAGAAACAACTGGTGCTCCACACACAGTTGCAGCAGACGCTCGAAGTGTGTCAGTCCGTTCGGAGTTAAGCCTATAATTACCACCCAGCTGAACTTCTGAAGAGCTCAGACGCCCTACTTGTGCGTTCACATCCCTTGCAAGTACTATAATATCTGAACTGGTAGCACTGCGTAGTAGCGCGTTCAGTTCGTGATAGAATGTGTCTTTGACAGCATTTGAACTGGAATCGGTGGGAGCATAAGCGGAACTCACAAACAAACATCGTTTTGTACTACTTCGTGAATCCACCTTAGTTGATATCGTCAAACGGGCTGCACTCCGATTAACTGCATTCGCTTCCCAACCGTTGAAATCATCATTAGAACGTGATAGACTCACTTTTACGTACATATATATATATATATATATATATATATATATATATATATATATATAATGGGGACGACTATCGACTCCACAATGGGATGTATCCGACGCCAACGTTGAGTTAACAAAAGCCAGGCAGTGAGCGGACAATTACGAAGTGCTTACGTGCTTCATAAATAACTACGAATTCTTTAAATATTGTTTTATGATCGCCGTCCAGTCTTTCTTCCTCATTCTCAGAGGGATACTCGACAATAGCCATTTTAGTACCTTAGGACGACTAATAGTACTGAATTGGTTGCCTTCGCTTGTGAATGTTTTATGTATGTCCGGCCACCGGTTTCCGAAGTGGGCGTTGTTTTGTTTCCTAGACGTAAGTTGGTGGCGCAAGGCATGGCGTAGGTATGTTAACTAGGCAACGGGAAGTGAAGTCACTGAAGGCTAATCTTCGAGCCGCTGGTCCATCACCTCTGCAGGCAGCCTACTATTGCCTTGTTATTGGACAAGCGAGCTGCGTTCGACTCGGTCCATCGGGCTGTTTTATGACGTTGTCTGCAGAAGAATGGGCTAACCTACAAGTATACCACCAACTTTCGACCTTTATACAACAATGTCTCTTGTAGGATGGGAGCTTACGGTAATTTCTCTACACATTTCGCCGTCACTAGCGGTGTGCAACAGGTATGCCCCGAATCACCGTTTCTCTTCCTTTGCGATTGAGTATGTCTTATTAAGTGCTCTGGAAAGTCTCCAGGGTTTTGGCCTAGAGCTTCTTGCACGCAACCGCACGACTGACTTGGACTATGTTGATGATAATGCCTTACTGATTGACGGCTACGCAGACCATTCTAAACTGATCGGGGATTGAAGCTACTAACTATATAAAGTCAAAGTCAAGAAAGCGTTTTGTGCACCCAGAACGGGTGAATATTCAGCCGTAACACAGTGCTTTCAGCGATGTGGTATTGTATATACCATTTTCACTTTAAATTGATCGTTTTGGAAACCACTTTGGACGTTTTTCAAAACACTTGGGATGTTTTGTAAAACAAATTGGGCCACATTGGACACATTGCATTTTAAGCAAATAATCAGCAATTCGCAAGCAAGAAATGAGTAGCAAGGCGACTAGACTACATTCTAGTCATATTAATGTGACAGAATTGTTTAAGCAGCAGTGCCACTGCAAACCCTTCTTTTGATCGTGAACGCCGATCACCTCGATCAAAGGCGGTGACTGAGTATCACCCTCTCTCCCTATCGATCTTGACCTAGTTTATGTGCCTCTGACTTTACACATGGACCGATCTACGTATGTGACTATTGGAAAGTCATACTCCCGAATCACGTAGTCTATTATGATTTAAACAAACGTTACTTAGCTTTAGAGGGTCACTGGGAAGCACACGTTTTGTGAATAGTTTGCGATGCGCAATGTCAATGTGGACCGGGATTCCTATTGAACTAAACCTTGGCTACTTCGATCACTTGAACCATAACTGATGAAACGGATAGGCAGTAACCCTGTAGTTCCCTGTCGGTCTATAGGCCTACGTGTATTTACTGTGGGCATGTAGGCGAGTCTATTCAGCTGCTGAATTATTGGAGCAATGTAGGATATCATGACTCCACCAAGAACAGTCTACGTTTACTGGCCTAATGTTGCAGTTTAATGTCAAGGGCAGGAGAGTAAGGTGACTGGCCCCTGTTCCGGCCACATTTTAGTCATGCGAAAGCAGCAGATCTGTGCAAGCAGTGGATAATGTTGCAAGCCGTCCTCTCGTTCATTGGTGTCGTTCACCTCCATCGAACCCGGTGACTCAGTTGTCCCCTGTCTCTCTATGGGCCTTCACGTATTTACTGTGAGTGTGTGCCGATGTGTGATGATAACAATTGTAGCCGGATAAAAAAAGGAAGTACGATAGTTTGTGTGAAACAAAAAGCGAGTGTGTTAAAAATTCCTCAGAAAGGAATTGTAGGGTACGGCCACATTTAAAAGTCCCGCCTTCATGGCCTTCCATCGAAATGCTCTGTCCTACTTCAGGATTAGCATCCACATGCTCCAGTGCTCATTCTTGTAGGCACACAGCTTGAACAAGTGGATTGTTTCATCTACCTTGGGAGCTGGGTTACTGTTGATTGCACCGTTTGAAGAGAGATTTCTCCCCCTATTTTCAAAAACGGCTCAGTTTTCACTACTCTGAGGTATCTGTGGTTTCATCCTGACGTTACACTCGCGGTAAAGGGTAGGTTCTACGACTCCTGTGTTCGCGCCGTACTGTTTAACGGAACTGAGTCCTGACCGATCCGTGTAAATGATTTACGTCGAATTTCGACCTTTGACATCAGTTGTTTACCGAAGATGGACGTCGCGTTTTTGGTAATACAAGCCTTCCTCTCCACAAGCTGACACCGCTGCTGCAGCTGAGGTGACTGGGTCACCTTCTACACATGCCGTGTGAGCGTTTACCACAGCGCGATTTATTCGCTCACGCAGGGCCGCATTGGAAGAAATCACGCGACGGTCAGCCTACCACATGGGGATAAAATGTCATGGAGCTGACTTCTAGTCTAGCTGTTGTCGGTTCCGTACCTTTTCCTGGCTAGGAAGACTGTTGAGTACATGGTGCGGAATCGGGGACAGTGGAAAGTTAGCATGAAATTGTGCATTAGTCCCGCTTATCAAGGCCGAAATTACTAAACTGACAAAAAAAGACAAAACCGTAGGTGAAGAACACTAGAAAACTTTTCCTTGTCTGTTTCCCACTTTGCATCTTCATACCTATTGTGCACATTAATCCCACGGTTATTTGTAAGTAGGGGGATTTATTGGTGTTTTGTCAAGACTCATCACAGTTAAATTCAGGCAGACAACCGCCATAATCCAGAAAAGCGCTGGACGACCGTTTCGTCCTCTTGGGACTCGTCAGTAGCGCGCACCCACCGAGTCCTTCCAGATTCAAACCCATAAGTTTCTGTTACGTGCCAGCGACCAATGCCCCAGTCATGGGCGACGGCAGCAGACCGCCATGACTGATATCTAACTGCGATATGGCACAACTCGTTCTCCGCTGTCACGAATAGTATGCACGTGCAGAGGACAGGGCTGGCATCCAGAACCACAACCTTTGCAAGCCGCTGCCAATCGAGGTGGCATTTAAGCTGCTAGGGCGACTACAGATTCTTTATAACTAGTAGGGCTGCCACCTCTGTCCTCTGCACGTTCATAACTTGCGTAACAGTGGAGGATAAGCCGCGCTAAATTGCAGTTAGATATCAATCATGACGGTCCGCTGCCGTCGCCCATAGCTCAGTGGCATAAGTCACTGGCTCGCAAGAGTAAGGTCGTGGGTTCGAGTCCGGTTGAATATATAAATATATAGGTTTCGTGCTAGGTCCCCATTCTTCCTCTCTTATCGTCCTTCATTCCGCAGGTCATTGCAGGTGTACGTCGGCAATTCACCAGTTCCAATGGCTGATGTTGTTGTCGTCTCTGCTCGCGGTATTTGCTGATGATTAACGGAGTTTGTTATCATGAAGCAGCTCCATGTTATCAGCTTTCTCAATGTCAACAGGAAGTTCGCGTTTACTTCTCTGTCGATAGATTAGAGGACATCAGCCGATCTCCTGGTGCAAATGACAAATCACGTTTTACATCTTACTGAGTGCTCCGACATTTTGCTCATTTTCCATGTTCCTACTTTATTTGTACACCGGAGTTTTATTTCTATCCGTTTTCAGTGGCTATTCTTGGATCTGTTGAACTTGGTTTTTGATGTTATGTAACGTAATCCACTTGCTGTCGCTTTATCAACCGTCCATTCTATTTTGTCAAAATTTACTGACTCATCTTTTTTCTGTGTGAATTGGCGTGGTGGACACTCCACGCTATTCACATCTGATTGTGCACTAAACTTTCACATTTTCTTTTTCTGCGATGTCTACTAGAATTCCTTGACGAAGCTTTTCTCTATCGTCGATCGCATGGGTGCCCACGAAGCTGAGGAACGAAGAGCTGGATGTTTTATCCTCGAGAGGGCAGAATCAGACCATGACAAGGCAAGTGGTCAAAGCAGCAATGATTTTCGCGTAACTGGAAGTCGTAATGTGCGCTCAAAACATGTACTGAAGCAATGCATGAGTACCGATCCAACGGAGACGCAGAAGGCACCTGTATCGCGGACGCGCGATTCCCGCCTCAAGTCACGTGCATTGGGCGCGAGATGGAAACGGTTACAACGGTCCTCTACTTGCCCAACCGGGCTGGAACAACAAGCCGTCTCAGTTGGTACGCATGTGCGTCGACACAGCTGTCGGCGGCAGGTTGCACAGTCGAAGAATGTATAGGTTGTCAAACCCGCATCTCAGCCTTCTGTTATCACCGCTGCATTCCTGTACATTTGTTTTTATATTACTCAATAGAGCTCGAACTCTGCTGCAGATTCGACTTTTTGTTTCGCTTTGGCCTAAGCCACTTTTTTCTCCATCGCCCACTATTAACATTTGGACTGTTGCTTTTTTGATAATTATATTGTTGTTAAACATATGGATATAATTTGAGTAGTAAGTCTTGTAGAGTTTGACTTCCGGATTTTCTGGCTCTTCTTCATAAGTTCTAAGATTTTTGTTTAAATCTCTGACCTCTGAACAATCGCTTTGCTTTCACTCCACACGTCTATATCTGCTTATGTAGATTGCAAGTTTGCTTCCTTGATTTTTACCCAAATTTAGCTTATACTCGACATGGTTAGCCTACATCGCTGTCTGTCACTCCTGTGCACCGTTTAGTACAATGAACTAGTATCTGCTGTATGATGTACCGCTTTGTGCTGAATTTACTCGCCTCGAATCTTCTCTCTGAATCAGTCTTCCAGGTTTCGGTTTGTAGCACTGATAAATTCAAGCTCATGCGTATAACTGATCTCTAGCCGGCAGAGTTAATTGACATAACTTGTTGATGTCGCCTGGAATGTCTTTACGAGTCGTCCTCCACCCAATTTGTTTCTACTCATTTCCGTGTACATTTATGCTTCTATCCACTGTACACGCTACAACTAGTCGGCCGGTGGCCGAGTGGTCTGCACGTTTGCTTTGCAACGATAAGGTCACCGGTTCGAATCCGCGTAGGGGTGGGCGTCCTCGCGGTAAACTCAGCCCGCGCGCGACTGGTGGTGGTCGTGTGGCAGCGAAGCGCCGTTACGGCGTACAGCTGACACATTATTTATTATTATTCATTATTATTTACACGCTACAACTTGTTTTGAAATCATTCTTGCCTTCTACTTTAGGTCTATATTTGCTCTCACGCATACAAGAATCGCGACCACTTCCTTGGATGTTTTCCGCCTCAGCAGCTGCTTACTTTTCTACTATGCTGTCCTCGATACAATGAGCTCAGGTGCTGATGTCGTAAAAACAACCAGACCCACCGAGAAGTCTAAGAAAATGCCAATTCTCAAATCGTGAGTCATCGTCCGGTTGAGCTCCGTAACCTGTGCTCTATGAAGTTTTATCGTTTTCGTTTTATGTATCTGGTTAGTGTTTTCGTCTGAGATTTTGGCAGGACTACTCTTTGCCACTATGGGCGGTGGCACCTCCAAACTGGATAACTTTTTGGTTTTTTGCGTCTAACAAACTGTTTGTCTTTATTTGGACTTTTCAAGTGAAATTGATGGGGTAAAAAGTGTCGGCACCACCCCGGAACCTTTGGTACCACGCAACCATCACCGGTTGCATCCGGTTTGGAATACACTAAGGTCCCCCGGAACTCGGCGGGAGATACAGAAATTTGGCCATCTACCGCATATACTTCGACAATAGAGTGGATCGTACTTGACCAGACTATGCATTATTGTCTTTCGGCCTTTACTGATCGATAGTTTTGGGATATATATATTTGTTAGGTTATGCATATCGGCAGTACGATCGTCCCTCGGTTTCATTCACTTCATCCACATTTTCGGTAGTTCTCACAAGTTGACTTCTAGTAGGTGATTTATCATGTGCGAGTACATGTATTTACTCCTTATGCTTGTCTCACACTCGTTGGTCAAGTGTCGGTGCGGGGACCGACGAGGCTTATGTTACACATCGTCGCCTCAACCTGGCGTCGTATGAAGTGTACTGGGATTTACCCCTTCGTGATGTGCTGGGGCTAGTTGCGGTCTAACTGAGTGTCGAAGTGACACCTACCCATCCGATACTACCACCTCGATCACTCACTCTAGAAGACTTCAATCATTACGGCGAAAGGCTTAGTGCATAGTCTTAGTGATCGCGCTAAATTAGGAGAGAGGAGGTCTCCTCACGAAAAAAATCAGGTCTCATCTGCCACTCTGCCTATGTCTGCGTACATATGTTACATCAATGCCTACTCAGTTGATTTTCGTACCTGAAAGGTATTGATGGACTCTGATTCAGTAATCGCTTATATTCACATGCTTCTTGGTCCTTCAGGTTTACACTGGATACTGTTAGTCGTTGAGTAGATAAGGCATCTGGCTTGTAGTCCACAGATCTCCGGTTCTGTCTTCCGTAGGTGCGGGTGGTCTCACGTGTTTCTAATCCGAGGGCGACTGGTGGCGGTCGGGTGGTATTGAAGCGTTGGTACGAAGTACCGGTGTACCACTGGTTCTTTCTGGTTACAGGGTACACAGGCGTACGTGTGAGCGATACGACGCAACCCCTCCATGGTCCCTTTGTAGGCACAGACTTCACGATCCCGATGACTGGTAAGAGATCCCACCAGTCCTGTTCTTTCTTAGTACCTCATTCGATTGGAACTCCAAACGGTCCTTCCCCGCTAACTAATCACTGCCTGTGACTCCATTGCTCTTGAACGAATCGTGACGGTGCCTGTTGTTCTCTTTAACGCGATGCTAAGGAGTGACCTCATCTTTGGTCCGTGGTCTTGGAAATAGTGTGTCGCTTACCTCTGTGGCTCTCTTGCATTCGCGCGTTTCTGAATTTTTATATTCCTAAAACTTAATTAATATTTCCACCCTTTTCACTTCCTATGCCTTTTACCCTATTATCATTATTATTATGATGATTTTAATCAAAAAGCAGGCTCGTTTTGCTTTGGGACTGATCAACCCAATGGAACTGAATATTTATCTTCTTCAAGCCTAAATTTCACTTCTATACTTTTGTTCCATTCTTACATCCATCCTTACATTTTGCTGATTATCCTGACTTATTGACGTCAATTGTGTCATTAAAGTTGAAATCTCGCGAACGAGGCACTGTTTTTTGTTTGACTCGAAAGCACCTGCATCCCACTCTTTGTTCAAGGAGCCGAAGGACGATTAACCAGTCTCTGGTCCCCCTGTGCTGCATGACATCCAACTGTGTTTATTTAGCTGAAGTTTCTATCTGCTGCGGATCTTTTACCGCGCTGGAAGTTCATCATCACCGTCATTATGCACATTAGCTGCAGGTGGAAAACATCTCAGCTATTGTGCCGCAATACTAAAGACAAGAAGAAAAAATTACAACAGTGGCATGCCCGCTGAATCCCCAGTAACGGTTGGACATCGTTCCGGAGAGCTAACAGCTGGCTGCCGTAAAAGAGAGTCATATTATGCCTAACAAGTGAGATCGTGATTGGAGGGGGATGCTAAGCAGGAGGGGGATGGACAAAGAAACAACACAAACGCTATTGGGGCCGGCTTCTAGCCATATCAGCAAGTGTATCCAACCAAACGTGTTCACCATCCTTAGGACCCCAGCCAGGCAGTCGGGATGCACCAACCGACGCCAACTTCGAAGTGAGGGTTTTCATTTCTCTCGACCAAGTCATTGCTTGACCTCCTCAATCAACCGCACCCCCGGCGCGCAAACAATGCACGTCGCGGAAGTCGGTGTACTGGCATGAGCAACACGTGGCCCAGCCAACGGAGCCTGGTGCGTGATATAATGGTGCTGAGCGGTTCACTTGCTCGCTGGGAGTTCAGGTGTGCATCAATCCGCAACACCGTCCATTTACGACGCTCGGCATCAGCAGACCAGCAAGCACTGTCAGATTTGAAGAGTTGAATTTTTTCATCGTCTTTTTCAAGCTATCTTTGTTGTCGTTGCTTACACATATTTATGGTTTATGCGTGCCACCTTGTGCAGATTAATTTCGAACAGGGCTGGCAACCTTGCTCGAATAACACTATCTATCGATGTGTTCGTGCTCCGTTATTGTTTAGCTGTGGAGAAACTCAATGACTGTTCATTTGTGATCGCTGGGTTTATCTTCTCATCCACTGTTTCACAACAGCATACAACTCCCACGAAGTCTGGCCACGATGAAAGGGAAGTCGGATGATGAACTCACGATTAACCCGAAGCATACTCACCTTGTTCGATCCGATGCTGGGCGTTCATCGCAGGTTTCTGATCCCGTTAGTGCGTTATTGGCTTATTATCGACATAAAGTTTCATCTCTAAGCGAAGAGCCTGAGCAACTTCAGCGCCGTCTGGACGATATCGCGGAGGCGATGCAAATTCGAGAAACTACAACGTCGGCTCTTCATCAAAAGGAGGTGGAAATATGCGATCTGAAACGGGCCTTGTCGGACATGCAGGTGAGCGGAAGATTAGCCACTGATAGAGTTGCTTGCTGATTCAGGTCTACCTTTTTCAGGAGCGTGAACATGTCTTGCGATTGTATGCAGAAAATGATCGATTAAAAATCAATGAGTTGGATGATAAGCGGAAAATCCAGCACCTCCTACAACTTTCTGGACTGGAACCTTTTGAAGTGACTTATTTTCTTAAAGACAATGGAGCCGTCATCTCAGCAACACCCGCACTCGCGGAAAACGCTTCTCCATGTAAACCAAAGCACCCATCCGGGCTGGTTGTAGCTCCTGTTGTGCCGCAGCAGCCTCCTCCTGTCGGCGTTGAAATCACAGCATCTGGAAAAACCGTCAACAAACCGGTTACTACCGGTAAGATTTTCCAGTATATGGCTGAGTTTCAGTCTATTTTTCGCTTGGTCTGAAGTTACTTAATTTAGACACCTCTTGTATGTTTATCAACTAATTATTTCATCCTTCGTCTTTTCCTAACCTTCTTTATGCTACTCATTGCAAATACTTTGTTATCTGCTTTCTTAAAATGCCATCAAATCTCCTCTGCGTGCACCTATCTAGTGTTGTGGATAACGCAACCTCCGTACATCCCTATCCTCAGATGAATCCGGCCAGGGAATCATAATGTTCAGTTTCTATCTGGCCATGGCACCAAATGTGGAGAACACAACGCAGTGCAGAAGAGTCGTGTACTAGAAAAGCAATGTTTAGACAACTTAATAGTTCAAACATAGAAAGTGGATCCATTTGTGCACCTACTTTGTGGTGCCGTTCGGACTCTTAGTTCCGCTACGCACTTTCATATACAACGTTGTGGTTAGTTTGTGAACCACACACCCTTCGTTTATGGCGATCCACAATTTTGCTCATCTCCTCACGCCTGCTCGTTTCTTCACATACTACTCATTTGCAGTGCACCACACCCCACCCCCAGTTTCCGCGACCACCGACCTCGCACGCAGTCTCTCCAAACTTCCAATCTGCTCCATGTGTGCCGTAGTTACTTCTTCTTCTTTCCGTTCGAACTATTTCCTCGACTCGCTAGCGTGAACCCGCCACCTACCTCTCTGTTCAGCGACCATGTGTATGGGCCCTCGTCGCCTGAGTACGTCGTACGACCACATATATGGTCGCACGATGGTGATCTTTGTACTTCCCATTAAAACCGATTGGAATTCTTCGGACGGTTTTCTCTTGTTTACTCGAGATTTTACCATCACCCGGTCCTGCGTTGCTCTCAGATTTCGATTCTCTACAATTCTATTGTTCCGTGCTTTCTTTGGCGGTAATTGGCAGCCCGGCCACACTCCGAAATCAAGATCCAGAGGAAATCGAGGTCCACAGCTGTATATTAACTGGAGTGGAGATCTCTTGATGCTTCCTTACTTCGACGCCCGGTGAGCTAGCAAGAGTAGTGACAATACTTCTTCCCAATCTCCCCCTTTTGTCGCCAGCCATTATTTGATCGTCCTATTATTCCTCTCCGTTTATCCGTTTGTCTGGGGATGGTGAGGAGTGGGTCATATCTTTTTGATGCTTAGTTTGTCCAGACATATCCGGAACTCGTCACTCTCAAAGCATTGACCCTCATCTGTCAGTATGGTTTGCGGAATCCCGTGGCTTGCTATCACGTGTTTCATCACCGCATGTGTTATTATACTAGCCTGCTGATCCGGAATTTCCGTGGCTGTATCCAGCGGGTGAAGTGCTCAGTCACCACTACTATGTACTGATTGCCCCGAATCGTTAACGGGAATGGCCCCATTACATCGATTGACCACAACTTACCAATCTCGAACACTGGAATCTAGAGCATAGGTTGTGGTGTTCCTCGATTGTCTCCCTTCATTAACTGACACTACTGGCACACGAATACGTATGTATCGACGCAGCTTTTCATGCCAGGCCAGTAAATCCGCTATCTAAGTAAATCATATGTACTGATGCACCCGGCTGGCTTGCCGAACAACCTCCTCGTGGTGCCAGCTGGGTGGTTCGGGTTTTTCCCGTTCCAGCGAATGGTTCGGCGGCAGTGTTCCAGGACGTGGTGGGTTTTCGCCTGGCAAGCGTTCTCCCTATAAAAAGCCACATATGTCCGTTTAACAACACTGCGACGTGGCGGATGTGACTCGCCACTAAATAAAGTCACTGCCCCTTGCCCCTCCCTGAGAGGCATTGTACTTTAAGGGTGAGTTGGGCCCCTGGTCCTTCACGGACCGAAAGGCGTATGAACCATCTACTTGGTCACCGGCTCCCAACGGGTTGCGACGCCCTCACATCGCCCTGCTGCCTTGTAGGTTAGATCTTTGATCAAAGGCTCGGGGTAGGGCCCCCTAAGACAACCCTCTACTTCGGCCTGGGCAACCGGGTAGTATCACGCCCGCTGACGAATCATGGACTTCACCGCTCACTACTACTACTACTGCTATGCCGCTCTTCTGTCTTAACTCAACCGCTCAACGTCCACTCACAGACCATCCCACCTCCCGTCCTTCATCTACATGTACTCTTATGTCTTCTACGGTCACCGTCACAAACGACCCACGTCTCGCAGCTGATGGAAGTAACAGCCAAACTCCCGGTTCTCCATGTCCTGCGATCGCAACCGCCTCTCACTCCACCGAAGCTCCAGCTCTTCTCCGACCTGGTTCTCCATTCATCCTCGCAGCGTTTAATGTTCGAACTTTGATGCAGATCGGACGACAAGCATGTCTGACCCGTACTCTTGAAACGCTATCGGTAGACATCTGTTGTCTTTCAGAGACCAGATTACAAGACTCTAGCGCCGTCATCAGAATGGCCTCTCCGGTAAACTCTGACGCCAAATACTACTTGCGGCTTTCCGGAGACCCAGAATCTGCCGCCACTGGTCAAGCTGGTGTTGGGGTTGTATTAAGTGCCACGGCTGAATCAGCTCTGCTTGACTGGATCCCAGTCAACAGCCGACTATGTGCAGTCAGACTAAGAGGTTCATGTAACGTAAGCAGGCGTCGAGATGTTAAGCGTGCCTTATTTGTCGTCTCCGCCTACGCCCCTACAGACTGCAGCCCGGATGCAGTTAAAGATAGCTTCTACCAACAACTACATGAACTTCTGCGTTCCTCCAAACGGACGGATATAGTCATTCTTGCCGGGGACTTTAACGCACGGGTTGGCCGCCTTCTACCAAGCGAGCACCACATTGGGGGTAGTTTTGGTCTCGGTGGCAGTCGATCAGACAATGGAGACAGACTACTTGCTCTTTGCTCTGATCATCGCTTGTTTCTTTCGAGCACTAGTTTTCGACACTCGAGGAGACAGACTGCTACCTGGCGCCCGCCCTCACAAACGCAAGAGTGCTCCCAGCTTGACCACATAGCAATCAGCTACAGATGGCGCGGAAGCGTAATGGACTGCCGATCGTACTGGTCAACTTTTCTGGACTCTGATCACGCATTGGTTCGTGCTAAGATTTGCATGCGTTTCGGAGGATCACCTAAGCGCGCCCACTACCGACCGGACGTCGCAAATCTACAAAACGCTGCGGTTTTAACCAGGTACCAAGCCTCACTGTCAACTTTGCTTGGCTCAACTATTGACGGTGATCTCGATTCGCAGTGGGCGCATATCAAAGATGCGTTAGTTTCCGCCAGTATCGACACTTGTGGAGTTACCCGGCACCCACCGAAACATTGGATTTCCGCCGACTCCTTGTCGCTGATGGACAAACGCCGCTTGATCCCATCGGATTCGAGACACGTTGAAGAACGCCAATACCTTGGTCGAGAGTTGCGCAGGAGTCTGCAAATGGACCGCGAAGCTTGGTGGTGTGAACGTGCTAGGGAGATGGAGCTTGCTAGTCTCTGTGGTAATACCAGGAAACTCTTCCATCTCCTTCGAGTCACCGAAGGTGTTCGATCTGGTATAAGTGAAACAATATGCGAAGAGGATGGCACCTTAATCACCAATCTTCAACGACGGTTGGAGCGATGGGCCGAACATTTTGGCTCGCAGTTTTGTTGGCCCCCAGCTCCATCTGCTACCTCTGGCGCTCGCGCTGGGGCCGAGTGGTCTACCCCAACAGACCCTCCCTCTTCCCAGGAAATTGAGCAGGAGCTCCGGCACCTGAAGCGTTATAAAGCTCCCGGCCCTGATGGTCTTCACCCAGCTCTATTTAAAGATGGTGGCGCATCGCTGGTCCGAGAACTCACCGTTTTGTTCTCGAAAATTTGGTCGAAAGAGAAGGTTCCATCATCTTGGGGTGAATCGATAGTCGTACCCATCTTCAAAAAGGGCCTGCGCACAATCTGCTCCAACTACAGAGGAATAAGTTTAGTCCCCGTCGTTTGCAAGCTGCTGGTGTCCATCATACTTCGCAGGCTATCCCCAACACGCGAATCGTTGCAGCGAGAAGAACAAGCTGGGTTTCGCCCTGGTCGCGGCTGCATCGATCAAATCTTCACACTTCGCCAGATCCTCGAGCTCCGCCATGTGTATCAGAGGCCAACGATTGCTGTGTTCCTGGATATCCGTGCTGCCTTCGATTCTGTCGATCGTACAGTACTGTGGCAGTGCCTTCTGAGGAACGGTGTCCCCGAGAAGTTCGTCTCCATACTGCGCGCTCTATACAGTCTGACCTCGGGCAGGGTTAGGGCTTATGGCATGCTTTCGCCTACCTTTGTGGTCTCCAGTGGAGTTCGACAAGGATGCCCTATCTCTCCGTTCCTATTCAACTTTGCCATTGAGGATGTCCTGAAGAACGCTCTGAGCGATTCTTTGAACGCTGGCGTTGAGCTCCTCCCAGGTAGTCGAGTTGTTGATTTGGATTATGCTGATGATATCGTCTTGCTAGGTGACGATCCACAGGTCGTCCAACTTGCATTAAACCGCTTGACGATTGAAGCATCAAAGTATGGTATGTGGTTTTCGCCATCCAAATGCAAGGCTCTCCTTCAAGACTGGCAGGTGCCTCTGCCTGCACTCACGCTTGCTGGTGAGACACTGGAGGTTGTGGAGAGCTTTGTCTACTTGGGAAGTTGCATCACTGCTGGCGGGGCTGTTGGAGACGAGATTTCGATGCGCATCTCGAAAGCACGCCTCGCTTTTTCTAGGCTGAGGCATTTGTGGCGTCGCCACGACATTCGTCTCTCCATCAACGGGCGGGTCTATTGTGCAACTGTTCGTGCTGTACTGTTGTACGGATGCGAGACCTGGCCCATTCGTAAAGATGACTTGCGCAGGCTATCCGTCTTCGAGCACCGCTGTCTGCGGTCCATTGCCCGTGTGTGGTGGCAGCACCACGTAAGCAATGTGGAAGTTAGACAGCGTGTCTTGGGACGTGGAAGCCACTCGCTCGAGGAGCTCATCTCACTGCATCA